TTATATTTAACATTATGATTTATCAGAATATTTTTGTTTTCATGATAATTCAAATTTATAAAAATAGAATATAGGCATTAATTCATATTGTTGATAAAGTTAACGTGGTTATGTGTTATCAGTCTCGTGTATAATATTATTATTAATGAATTAAAATTATGAATTGTGCAAGTGCCAAATTGTATAAATCCATAATAGGTATACTATTAAATAATTTATTTTCTGTATCTGTATATTTTCTAAAACTATATTATAACAAAATGAGGAGAACAAGGGATATTTTAAAAGCTGCTCAAGAAGTAAGTACTTACATAAAATATTTTATTAACTACTACAAAAGTATCTTGTTTGATTATCTCATTTAAAAGAACAACCAAATTAAATTACAAATTTTTTTATTATTATAAACATTAATTGAATATTTCCTACTACCATTAATATAGCTAATTTATTTATATGATTTAATAAACAAACATAGTAAGATGCTATATTATAACTTATAATATATTAATATGGCATCTTACTATTTTTGTTATACCTACCTACCTAGGTACATCATTATCTCAGAGATTAAAGATTCTGCCATTTGTGTTTATTTTTGTATACCAGTAAAATTTAATAATACCTAAATTTTATTAGAACAACAAGATTTTTATAATGCACAATAGTATACCTACCTACTATTATACTATATCAAATATTATTTTTGTTTAAGCAATCAAAGTCAAGCAATAATTCTGAAGTTAAGATTACAAAAAAGGTAAATAATATAAAATAGTAATTTATTATTTATTCATGATATATTTTTTAGTTATTTAATTGATTAAGTAGCTAATATGTAATGTACTATTGTATACTCATAAGATGTCTATATTATTGTATATTACATTTAACTATAATTTATTAATATGTATTTAATATTTTAGAAAGAAGTAAGAAGAAAACTGGTTTTCACTTAAATAAAAAGTATGTTTCAAGTTAGTTATATTATACTGTCAATTACCTATTTTGTTATTTTTTAAGCAAAATCTTAAATTATGTAAATAAAAATATTAAATTTTTAATTACCTATGTAACTTTAAGAAATGTTCGAGTTGAAAACATTCATATTTTTTACTACTGATTTTTATTAAGTAACAATGTGATCATTATAATACTACGTTTTATACTTTGTTTTTAATTAATTCACCTATTGTATTGTTCTATGTTTAATAAAACTTATTTGAACTAAATACATTTTCTTTTTCAAACTGAATGATAAAATTGCGTTTTGATATAATATCATGTAACAAAATGTATATTCAAAATTATTTTTATTTTAAATTTCGTGAGTTCAATTAATCAAAACGTGTTATTGCCGGCAAAAGCACGTTTTGTACTGAACGTTAGTGATAGTGGGAAAAACGCAATATTGCCGGTGTTTAATTCAAAATGTGGTAATGCCGGCAATACCACATTTTGGCTTGTGAACACTTTTTAAAAGTATTAAAACTAAGTTTTAAACTCAAAATAGATTTATTTTGACACCGCCAATGGTTTTTTTTTCATTTAATTACACCAATTACAAGTGTTCATAGAACGTGATATAGTTTTTCTTAATTTGTGAACATTTTGATTTTTGGCAATACCACGTTTTGGATTTTCGCCCTTCAATTGCGGATAATGTTACAATATTCACTTGGTGAAATCAGTAGAATATCATATTCAGGCTGTTTTAAAAACTATGACGATAATTAATAATGACGATAATCTATAAATATGTTATAAACAATTTTTTCCACAAAATTAAAACAATCTATAATTCAACAACATTTTAAAAATAACGATTGCTCTTTTGCAAGACACAAATATTTTAAGCCCCACCTGCCAATTTTTTTTTTTTAGTTATTGTCATAAGTCCTGAAAAAGTGGTGAAGGGAAATATTTGTGTCCACAACTAACGTAGTTTTTATTAAAAAAAGTTCTGTACGCAATTAGTAGGTAATATGACAACGAAACTCGTGTCCGCAATTGTTATATTATAATTCCTAACCTGAATAATTCGTCCGCAACTAGTACCTATGTGTCCCGTTAACTATTTTACTGGGTTATGTAGGAAAAATAAATGATATTTTAAAATTGAATGTATGTGTATAAAATAAAAATACTTTCATAAGAAACTTTTTAAAAAGTAAACATATTTTTTAAGCCTTATTGATACAAAAATCAAAAATCTGTTTCCTACATAACCTATAAAATTTGATGATGAACACATACATATTTTTAAAATAATAATCGGACATCGGGAAGTACATTAACTAATCTTCCACTTATTGGTCTGAAACTACAAAAAATACGGTGTGCTCCAACAATTTAATTCATAAATATCATAAAGAATACCACTTTGTATTATCCAACTTAAAATAATTGACTATACTAATAAAATAATAATTAACTTTAGATAATATACAGTATTTATTAGTCTATATTATCTATTAATCCATGTTAATAACATATCAAAATTTAAATATTATTATAAATCATTTTAACGGCAGTTTCCGATCGTCTTCGCAAGAACCCGAAGTCGGGTAAAATGTAATCGAGGCTATTTTTGGACAGTGTACCTACTTAATGTCATAATAAAATATTATCGTATTAATTTGTTTATTATTATTATTATTCTTAACTTTTGTTTGGTGATAATAATATGACTGGATTGTCAGTCATTAATTGGAAGCGTGCGTATACCCATAAAAGACTAATTTTTGTAAAGGTATACGCTTAAATCCAAAAATATTGATCCTCCAATACACCACTGGCGATACCGTTCCGTCGCTGACTATTTGGCCATCGAAATAACCCAATCCAAATATTATATTATTTTCGTAATATTCTGAATTTATGTTTTTTTATTTTTAAAAATAATCTAGCACTACAAGTACATGGTTGTATTATTATGAATTATGTTTGCAATTTTTCTCGAGTTTGGGTAGACGGGTAGGTAGTGCACGTGTACTTGTATACGTAAATATATAATATTTCAATTCGTTCAATAAGCATTATGGACAGCGCATTCCACTCCGCCCTGCCATCAATGCACGGGAATCATAATAATATAAGAGAAAGAGAGAAGAAAGAAAAGAGTGAAAGAACTATTGCCTAATCTATGGAAAGAACATGAAGGGGGTAATCAGTAATCACAGACGTATGCAACTGAATACTAATACTGTACTCCCCCCTTTCTCTTTTACTCTATATCGTACCCCTGACCTCCTCACTCTCTATAAGCTGTGTCAATTTGTTTAAAATAGCTGGTCTATGCCATGACTAAATAAACATATTTAGTCATGGTTTATGCCATTAGACGGAACATTTTAGGTACAATAACGAGTACAATGGTGAGCCTTGTGACGACGATCGGGCGCTATTAGATAAATCACGTCATGTATTGGCCGCCGTCATCAGAACAGTGCCATTTCTCTCATTCTTATGATAAAACTCATAATATCTCTCTTTGGCACGACAGCGCCTCTCCAGTCTTCGGGGAAAAAACCGTGTCCCGTCTATTTCTATAAGTCGATGTATACAGAGTGATCCATTCAACGGAAGACGCTTATTGTACGAAACGTAGACGGTTGAACGATAAACTGTGTCTTACGTTAAACGGATCACCCTGTATAGCAGAGGACCCTATCACAGAACCGATAAAATATTATGGTTTGACAAATTTAATTTAATTGATCACGTATTCACGTCGTCCGCACTCCGCAGTGACTGTCGAATGTCGATGAGCGCCTATAATAACAAAATACAAAATATACTATTGATTATGGTATTTGCCTACAATCACCATTCGCATGTCGCATAGTACATACCTACTAATAGCTATAGAAAACTACAAGTTAAAAACGTCATTCTACAGAATTTTAAGCCATTCATGTTTTCATTGTCCTGAACACTGTGCTACAGTCGGAGACATACTTGGAAACGAAGTCATCTGTGAATACGCGTTGTAGTGACTATATTAATTGGTTTTGTGCACGAGCAAACCAGTGTAGGTATATAATAACCTACTAGTTTTACAAGTAAGTGTGTCATGTTTAATTAACCAAGGCTTACCGGTGGGCAATAGTTCTATTTCACTATTCAGTACCTACTCACCATATATCCTGATATCCCATTTACCTGCCATGTCTATCTGTTAGGTTATATATAGGTATATATATATTAATTTCAATGAAAATATAAAAAATTCAAGAAATAAACATCCTTTTTATTTATCTATTATTAAAACTAACTACATGTTATACTACCCTGCTATTATATTAATGTCATGTGGTAACTTTTTAACAACTTGGACCTGTTCAATATGACTCTTAGCTCGTTAAGTTGTCATTTTTAGATTATTACCTACTATTATATTAATTTTAATCGAATTGTTATATAATCAATTGTCTAACGCTTTTAATTTCTCTATATATACAATATACATATTATATTCTTTTTTTTTCTTTCGTTCTTATATCATTTGTTTAATTTTTTTAGTACCTATAACACACACCTATGAAACTGTCATTATTTTTATTAATTTAAATTGGAATTTTATTCCGTTAATAAAATTATTATTATTATTATTATATATATATATATATAGCCTAATAGCTCATAGGTAGGTGTTAGTATTTACTAAGGGCCGTCCCTAAAATGCACTTTACCATGCTTACCACACTCCTCACAGATTTCAAAGACGTGTTTTCAACGCTAATTTCGAAACTTTTTGAATTTTTTTTGCGGAAACAATTTTTTTGAAAGTTATAGCCATCCGATGTTTGCGTTCTTACGTTTATAAGCATGTGCCCAGTGCTCCTTTAACTCGAGTTAGGCCACCAGAGCCTTGAGTTTGAAGACCGGAGCCACTTGTGTTACTTTAATACGAGACTCCTGATATAGAATTTTCCGTTTTTATGTTCTTAAATAATGGATGGAAATAATATTATATGTTGTAAACTGTTTACTTTAGTATGGCTGATCAAGAACCAACGTTTACCAATTTCTGTGATGAAAAACGTTTTTCATTATCATATGATGCATTGAATACCATGCGAAGGTAATAAGTATAATAATAATACCTTTAAAATATAATATTATACATATTTGATTATACTCAGCGCCAGGAGAGAATATTACCACATGAATAACTAGTGTTATGTTGGTTTTACAAATGAGTTTTTTTCTGTGTATAATGTGATCTCTAAAATGAATATGTAATAATATGTAATAATATTAATATAGTTTGGAAATTGGATAAATTAGTTGTGAATGGTACCTACTACTGGGTAATTTTTTAATCTCTCAGTAGTTTTCTTAAGTTTCAGAAAAACCTGCTGAGAATTTTATTGTTTTTGACAGATTCTTTTAAAAAAATGTTGTCTGTCATCCACCTTTTGGAGCAGTAAAAGTGTTTCAAGGTTGGTTTCTATTTGTAAATCGGATCTGAATGGGTCAACACTTAAAACCAAAAATATGCATAACTTTTCATAATAAAAAAATAGGATTAACAATACCAAAAACCAGTTTTTATTATATGAAACTCAAAAATAAAGAACTGTAGAGTTTTTAAATGCATTAAAAATATACAATATAGCATATACCAGATATTGTAAAATTTTTAAAAAATATTGCCTCTTTTTGAGTTATTTATAGATTTGTGCGTATTATAACATTTATGATCATTTTGAATTAAAAAGGTTGAACATTTAACACAATATTATCTTGTTCATATCCCTATTAAAAAATATTGAAAATACTAAGAGACATTTTTTTTCATACTTAAGTGCTAGAAATTTAAAATTCAAAATTAACAAAACTCATTAAAATCTAATATTTTGTAGGTAAATATTCATAAAAATTTTACTATTATCACCTAAGGCTTCACTATGTAATAAAATATACCTTATAAGTTTTTATTAATGTAAATTAAAAATAAAGTGTAGTACTACCTACATAAAGCCAACTACATTTTTTAAATACCAATTAATTTTGTTAGTATTAATATTAAAAATTAGAAAGAAGTTAACTTATAAAAACATAATTTAAAGTTAATAACCAATAACAATATATTTGGTTTATTTTATATTTTAATGCAAAATGCAAATAGTAGATACCTATGTTAATTATTACTTTTAATACATTAAATAATGCTTATAACTCTTTAAAATTATTATTTTATTCTAAAAAAAACCAAAAATATAATGTTATAGATATTAACCATTGGTCTGTGTAATCAATGATATTACTATTAAATATGAAAAAGTTGAGTATGCCAAGATATGTTTAGAATTGATTTTTTAAATCTATGATAGGTATATCATTAGTTTTAAATGGTATTATTACCTACCTCTCTATTTATTATATTTTATTCATTAACATATTATAAATTACTTTCAGAAATAATCAATTTTGCGATGTGCTATTTGTAGTTGGAGATAAAAAAATAGCAGCACACAAAGTTATACTGGCTTCTCACAGTAATTATTTTAATAAAATGTTTACTGGACATTTCAAAGATACTGAATTTTTGGAGGTTACAAATGTAGAGATCACTCCTGATTCACTTGAGCTATTATTGGATTTTCTATACACGTCACAATTAAAAATAAATGATTCTAATGTGCAGGTAATTTATGTAGTAATATTAGTACAATATGTTGGTAGCACATTTAATTTTAAATATTTTATATAAAATGTATAAAATATAAATGCATACATATCTGTAAATAGAGTACTAAAATAAATTGAGCTCAAAAGATTTCAAAAACAAAAAGAGTGGGAGATTTGTTTTCTACCCACTACATATTATACAAAATTTTATCGAATGATAAAATTCAAAACAATCACAAGTTAAATGTTAATTGATGTATTGAATTATTGTATACATTTAATATAAAAAGGTTTTATACAGTTATAAAATATTTTAACATGTATAATATGTAATATTATAGATATTATCATCTTCTTTATGTATAATATAATTCTTGAGCGTATTCTATTATTTATTGCAAACTTTTTAACGAATTTACCGTTTGAGGTAAAAATTATACCAATATATTCCTAGAGACTTGGAGTATTTATGTAATTTTGTAGCTCATAAATTATATAATTTATTATAATAAAGATTACGTATATGGCTATATATTGAAATGTGTAGTATTAAAATTATTTAACATCTTAAGGACACCTTAAGATGGCCCGGAATCGGCTAAACCTTCCTAAGCCACCCCTTATTTACATATATGAACGTGTAGGTAATTAATACTTAAATAATATGTTTTATAAAACAATTGTTACTTATTTTAAATATCATACTTTTTACTTATTTTATACAGATATGTATTAATGTTTTTATGTTTACAATTTGAATTTTAGGATTTATTAATGGGATCAAATTTTCTATTGCTAGATGATGTGAAAATGGAATGTTTAAAATATATAGAACAAAAGATTGATATTGAAAACTTTATGACATTAAATAGTATTGCCGATAAAAATAAAATAAGAGAACTGCATGAATTATTTTTGTCATATATACTGAAAAATTATAAGTGAGTTTATTATAAAACTTATTTTATTAATAATTTTAAGCTACTATGATTATATTTTGATTCATTCATATTTTGTTACCTACTCTATTTTGAGTAAGAATGTATTGATTTTACGATAGTAGTATGTTTTTTTTCTGTCTGTCATCACTCATCCACTTTAGGGATAGTAAAAATGCTCCAGTTTTCTACTCCAAAATCTTTTCTGATAGGAAAGTAAGTCTAGTTAGTGCATTCTAGAGGTCAGAATTGAAAATTCCCAGTAACTTTCAATAGCATAGGGTTAAAAAAAAAATTAAGGAAAAACCATAATATTGATGCAAAACTAAATTATTGACAAAATCTATTATATTTTTTTTAGTGTAACACAAAAATAATAAGTAATAACCATATAGATCCATTAAATTTTTTTATCAAATGTAAATATATGATCATTTTGCATGTTTGATAAAATTTTCAAAATATTTTTAATTCTTTTTTAAATAGGTTGACACACCGTCTCCGCTCAGAATTGTTTTTCGTATAGGTACAATGATTTATCTTTCAATTCAAATTTAGTATTACAATGACATACTTAAACACTACTGTACAACAAAGCGGTAGTCACTTATCCACCTTTTTTATTTTGGCTAACAATCATAAAATATATTTTTGTATTCATTTTATTTTACTTTTATGATAAATAATATCTAATATTACAATTCACAATGCATAACATACCACATAATGTGTTGTATGCAGCGTTACTGATTTTACTTTTAGTAAATAGGTACCTAAAACTGAATAATTATTACATTGTTGAAATTAGTTTTATTATATATGTTTTTCAAACATTATTTTGTTTTGTTACCTTCTACTAATCAAGTTTCAGACTTTAATACCTTATGTTTTAAATCACATTATATTTGAAGTAAACCCTATTCAACTTGTGTACCAGAATTGTCTTTATTTTTAACTCTTGTTGCTTTTTTAATTTTATTATTTCATTATATTATCTAGGAACATTGTTAAATCAAATACATTTTTATCCTTTTCATTTGAATTGATTATGGAACTTATTCAAAGTGACGACTTGTGTGCAGAAGAAGAAGAGGTATGCAAATTTACTTAAATTGTTAAAACAAAATTATTTAACGTTTAAATTATTTTTATTTTCTTGAATAAAAAAGTATTTTATATTTTTGTACAAAATACTTAATATTATTTTTTCTTTTCACATTTTTTTATTTTTAATTATTATTCCTAAGGTTTACGAATCTACTATGATGTGGTTGAAATACGACTTAAAAGAACGTTTAAAATACTTGCCAGAGTTAATTAAGTCCATTCGGTTAAGTCTAATATCAGTTGATTATTTGGATAGTACTGTTCAAGAAGAGGATCTCATTCAATCTGATAATTCATGTAAATTAAATTTTATAAATTTTATCTTTTGAATAAATGAGTACGAAAGAATTTATTGACATATTGATCAATATGAAATAACTAAAATTTAATATTATCATGTGATAACATAAGAGATCTATAAATTTGTATAAATTATGTATTTATCTGAAAAGTCTAAATGTTTTAATTTAAAGAAATTTCATTATAATATGTGAGCTTACTTTTCTTACCATATTGATCCATAGTCGACCATTTTTTACCTAGAATAACTAAAATATCGGTACTAAGTTTATGTTTAAAAGCAATAGGTGAGTTTTGAACTTTTGTTCGCTACTCGCCGTTCAGTTGTTCAGAGTTTATGTCCCAAAGTTCCACCTCTGTAGCTCGTACACTGCAACTTCCATCAGCATTCAGCAGTTTTTAATATTTTTATCTTCAGGTATGCGTTGCTTAGTACATGCCTATAAAGTACACCGGCAGACAACGACCATGGATAATGAATCAGTATCAACTTACAATATTACACATCGAAAATTCACTCAGGTAAAATACAATAAAATGTACTATTATGTATATATTGAACTAATATAATTTGTAAGAACAATTGTTTTAATAGTATATTAAAAGGCAAAGCATGAATAAATTAAAAAACATTTTTTGAAAATATTAATGTCCTAGAAAAATGACGTATTGTATTTACCATAAATTCTTAATAATTGTTTTGATACAACAAACAATAAACATCAACAGATTAGTAAATTTTTGTAACCTTATTAGTTATTAATAACTTATTACTATTTGCAAGGTATTGTATTGGTATTTGTTTTGTAATTATGATAGAAAAATGTCTTAAACGAATGACTCTTATTATTTTTTTTGGTACATAAATACATTGACAAGTCATGAACGATGATGCAAAAAATCTTGAACTTCATAAAGTTATACAATTATAACATGTAAACTAAAGAATAACATTTTTTCGCCCCATCAATTATTAATTATAATACATAATATACCTATTAAGTATATAAGTTAACAAAAAAAAAAAAAAAGATCTCATAGTTAAATAGTTTTTTTCCATTATAGTATTAATGTAATGGAAATAATTAAAAATGATAACTGTGTTTTATATTGTTATACTTTTAACCTATTCCAATCATATATTTAATTGAAATTTTTGTTTTAGAAATCACAGTCATTTAATATTCTTGGAAATCAACATTTTAAAGATGATAACATTTCACGACTAAAAAATTTTTTGTAAGTTACTTATATTTATATTAACTAAAATCTATACAATACAACATTTTCAATTTATGTAATTTTGTGCCACTTGTGTTCACTGTTTGTACGTGTGGTACAATATAATCTAATAGTTGTTTATTACCTTATAATGTTATACTTATATGGCTTAAATCATAGTGATTTTTTAAATTTTATAAGTAGAAGCAAAATCCAAAAATATGATAATATGTTTAGTAAGTGTATAATATTTAGTCATAAAATAGATTTTGGTCTTTACATTTTAAACAAACCTAACCTTTGTGTTTGGTAATAGGTCACTCTAATATTAAAATTTAAAAACATTAATTTGAACCTACTGAACTCGAATATTTGGTTTTATGCTTGTAAAATAGACACAATAAACAACATATTATTTTAAATTTAATCTGTGGTAGGTATTACACATCAATGTTAAAATATAACTTAAGTTTGATAACACAAAATACTAAAGCTTAAAAAAAATTCTATGTACCCATATGTTACTATACCTGCTACCTATTACGTGTTATTATTTTCAATAAAATAATATAAGTTAAAATTTGCATAAAATAAATTAAAATATGTAAGAAACCTTCCGTAAATTTTATTAAATAAATATAAGAAAGATTTTGGGTAAATGTAATTTCAAGATATTGTAATATTCCAATCTGTAATTTGTTTCCCACATCATTAGATGAAACGATACAATTAAAACCACTATATATTAATACATGTAACATGTTTTCTTAAAACAAACATTAGGTACCTAAATAAATAACTATAAATTGTATTTTTTTAATAAAATTAACCTATTTTTAGGCTTATAAAAGATTCACCAGAATTTATGTCATTCGAATTTGAACAGATAATGGAACTAATTAAAAGTGATGATTTATGTGCTGAAGAATTACAAGTATGTATTACAAAAAAAAAAAGCTGTTAAAGTGAGTACCACTCTGCTGTATAATTGGTTTCTCTAGATTCTCTAGCTGTAACGTTAAATTTGAATTGAATAATATAAAATCATTGTACATATCCGAAATATGATTCTGAGGAAAGATACAGTCGGTCAACCTACCTATATTACTTAGTATACTTTATGATATTATTGCTATTAAAGTAATTAATTTTACTATTGTAATAATAACAGTTGAAAAATGTTAATGATATATAAGCACAATTTTTTTCTCTTCAAAATCTAGAAAGTTTGTAAATTATTTGGTAGTTAAAATGTATAAAATGTTAAATTTTTATAGCAAATGATTGAGAATTTAAAACAAGGAAATAAATAGTTCATAATTTCATCAATTTCTCAAATTCTTCTTAATACTGAACTCAATTTTAATTTCTGATAGAATTACCATTACAATAAAACTCGTTATCTGTACCTTGTGAGTTTCAAAATAATGAGAGTTAACTGCATTATATTGTATATTATACACAATGACATTTTCAAATGCAATTGTTTTGGCAAAAAATAATTCAACCTAATCCTAATGTTTTACTTATGTAGTAATATGTATTTGTAAAATAAGTTAATTTAGTATCTATAATATTTAAAAAATATTTATGAATTTAAGCTGATTGTATTTGCTCAAAATCGTTTTTCAAATTATTTTACATCATTAAATTGAAATTTTACTCAATGAATAGTGATCCCTCTAAACTCCCCCTGTATAGCGGAGTGGTACCCACTTGCCACCATTTTCAAATTATGTATAGAATTTTGATATTTTTTTTATACATTCATCAAAGTTCCAATAATAATTTCTAACATCTTTAAAATAATTATATTTTAATTATAGAAAATGCCTAAACTTTAGTTTTTATTGTGAATAAAATTAAAAAGAATATGACTAGTGTTTTTATTTTGTTGTGTTTTGATTGCCAGGTTTATGAAGCAGTTATTACTTGGGTAAAATATGATGTGAAAAATCGTTCTGAATTATTTCCTAAGTTATTCCTCTCAATTCGCTTACCATTAATACAAGTTGACGACTTGATCAATATTGTTGAAAATGAAGAACTAGTGTCTTCAAATTCAATATGTAAGTATTTTTCTATGTGTACTGTGTAGTATATTATACAAGTAGTAAATTATTTGATGTTATAATGTTAATTCTTAAAAGACAATGAAATGAAACTTGCGAGTACTGTCTGTACAATTAGTTATCAAAACCAGCTCCTTTATAAATACATAAATTAAGTATTATTCTTTCACAGTAGGTTACCCAATCACCCTAACCCACTTATAAAAACCTAGCAGCCCCTACGATACCGATAATCCTGTTAGATGTCTTAAACAAAACTGGTGTCGAGACCTGTTAGATGCATAAAATCTAGCATATAAGTCATCCTTACTAAATACTCAAAATAGGTAGTGCCTTCATTGAGTGGCTCCTTCCGTCATACTTCTCATGTATTATAATATATTCCTTTATGAAATTTGTTTATTGTTTTTTGAACAGATTATAAAAGTAAAAAAATAAAAAAGTATTATTCATCATAACTAGTTATTAATTTTTATAATATTTATGATATTTTTCTATTTATTTATTATAATATTTTACCTGTTTATATACTTTTGTTTTATTGGAAATTTAAATGTTATATTTAATTGAACAAGCGAATAATAAGTAATACATGTACTGATTGTACTGTGTGTGATTTTAGATTTACCCAGTGGTCTATAAGTTTTATAATTTATATTTTTAATCCCTCCAATTACTTGGTCCGCAATAATATATCCTCCTTATAATTATATAATAATATATAAAGATTATCGATTTAATTATTTAATATAGGTATTTTTTATAAAAATTGCAATTTTTTTAAATTTGTTATTCTTACAATGATTTTTTAGATTTATTTTTGTAAATATATGTATTTTTTTGATAAGTAACGAGAATTAATTTCTTCTTTAAATATGGGCACTAGTAAAGTTATTTTAATAATGATGCACAACATTTTAAATTATACAGAACAATAAATAGACACCTTAAGTTTTTTTAAATTAGTATGTTCATATAGTTTTAAAAATTATATTAAAATATTAATTTCATTTAAAATTAATTTAATTTATTACTATTTTAATTATTTAGTATTTACTATGATTTAAATAATTATATAAAATTAAAAAAACAAATGTATGTTTTCGTATTGTTATAAATATTAAATTACAATGTATACCTAAATTAAGTTATAAATTAAGTTTACAATCGCCCACCTAGATGTAATAAACATTTCTTACAATTTTTTGTTGATAAGATAGAATAAATACAATGGTTCTACTGCATCTAGGCTCTTATATACAATGGTTTCCGCTTAATGTGGATACTTTGAGATCAAACTCATTTCTTTACATTAAGTAGTTGCCCATAAAAGCCGAAATTAGTTAGTTAGTATACACTGTGTCATGAGAAGTATTCAAATGTAGGTAGGATATCTTATTAGTTATCACTTATTTTGAGCCACTAAAACCACTGGATTTATCGAGTTAATAATGATTAATAGTTATTTTTTGTCAAAATTATTTGAGTACGCTTTTAAATTAAATTATTAATTTATGTTTGTTTTTAATCATAAAAATGTATTGAATACAATAACATTGTATATTTGACTATTTAAATGATAATTAATTAATTTATAATAGTATTAAGTAATTATTTTTAATGATAGATTCTATTTTAATACATTTAGTATTGTGTTACAGGTATGGACTTTTTACTTAATACATACAGAATTCTTGCACTTGAAAGAAATGTATCAATGAAAACATCAAAATCTAGTGAATTAAATATTTTCAACTATAGAAATCATAAATCAAAACAAGTAATAATTATTTTATTTATGTAATTATTAGCTAAAATTTTTAAACAGCATGTATGGATTCCTAATTGTCTAACTTTGTCTAACCTCGCCTTGGAAAAAATGAACGGTTTTGAACTTATAAGACATAAGTACACTCTGTATGCTTGGTTTTTAGTGTGCGTCTATTCATGGAAATATCGGTGTCAGTGTACTTAGTAGTTACTCATTAGACAAATCTGAGTATCTGACCAAGGCTGGGAATCCGCTTATAACGCTTGGTGTGTACTTGGCCGGTTTTTTCAATTTTCTGAAATTCCGAAATTCTATAAAATTTGAAAATTATATTTTTTTTTTAGTTATTACTTTAATTATAATACTTTCCCACTAATCTACAGCTCGATACCTGTTTAGGATTGGAGATTGATATTTTGCATTATATCAAATGATATCATAGGAAAAACTCACGCTCTGTAGCATAGTCGGATTTCGTTAATTTTCTTTTTATTTAAAAGAGAAGAATATTTTTCAGGTCGGATCAAAGGCCAAATTTTCATTTTACTTTAAATTGTGGTAGAAAAATTAATTTGAAAAAAAAAACTAATATTGTGCATTATTCTAATGCATATTTTAGCTTTTATAATTATAATTTTGAAAATTGAGCTTTGATTCAAACTGCAAAATTTTCTCTTCTTTTAAATGAAAATTAAATCAACAAATCCGATCATTCTATAGGGCCTGGGAGCTTTTCCTGTAAGACATGTTTTTGTACTAAAAAACGCACAGGCTCTGCCCCCTTGAAGTATTTCAACTTTATGAGTTTAATTTTATAGAAAATTTATTTGCCCAATGAACTGCTCTCTAAACCTACCTAAATTTCTCCAAAATGTTCATCGAGCCGTTTTTGACAAATACACACACACACATAACCTTTTATATACCTTGTATATAAAATATCAACAAGTAGGTACAAAGAAGAAACTATATTTAAATATTTTATGAACAAAATAAATAAATATTATTAGAATAAAAATGTTTGATTAAAGATTTATTTGATTAAATAATTATATACTATAATAAACTACTAATAAACATTTTAAAAATTGTTTCTAGGTTATAGTGTTATACAGAATATCAGATCATTCAAAAATAGAGTGGTATGACAAAATTAACAATACTTTTTATGAATGTTCATTAACTTGGTATTGTGACGATACCACGTCAAATTTAATATTAAAAGATGGTAGAATCTTTAGTATTAGTTGTAAAGATGGGTATGTAAAAATATTACTAAATATAAGTGACAGGAATATATTTTAATGAAGCTCCTACTATAATAGTCAACATATTCAGAGATCTATGTATTAGCATTGATTATAAATACTAGTATTTATGGTATTAGAAATATAATTTAAAATTTATTTCCTTAAATATAAAATATGAATTGACTATTATTATAATTATTAAAAGTTATTTTACTTTATACATGATCATGAAATATTATAAATAAATTAAAATATGTAATAAATATCTAATTACAGAGTTAATTCAGTTCAATTATATGATGGAAATCTTAATACATGGAAGTCCATAAGTACTCCTCATTTTGTTCATAAGTATTCAAGTATTATACAATTTTATGACCAAGTTTATGTAGTAAGTTTATGTAATAATTTATAACACATTTAAATCAACCAATTTCAAATACATAATAATAATATATGTAAACTAAAAAATTTAAAATTGTTGGTGCTCTGCTGTACCATAGGTTACAAGTCAAATTAAATTTTATAACATTGTTGTATACGAAAAACGATTCTGAGCGGAAAAGATTTGTCAGCCTAGGATATTTTATATTATATTTATATTGATACTATTAATACTGATATTATCATATTTGTTTACAATAGTATGCTTCAAAAGTTTCTAGTACACACGAATAATATTTTTAAATTATGACACAAAACTAAAATTGTTAGATATTCTTTGATTAAAGATCTAATTTTGTCCAAATTTTAACTTATATAACTATTATATTTATTTTTTGGTTACAGTATAATAACTTACTCACGTGGAACCTTGTTTTAAATTTTTAATTATTAGCTTCAAAAGTTCAACATTTCATAAAAAATGTTCAAGCTTTTTGACCCAATGATTAAAATCTTATTGACATTTTTAGAAAAAAATTGAAAATAGAAAATCCCTGTAAACAGCTCAAAACTAGTCAACATTTTCTCGAATATAAAAAATAATAAAACAAATATATGGTGTAAGTATCTACGGTTGTTCGTTTTTTAATTATAACAAAATAAGAAAATCGTTCTATGAAAAACCGAGTGAAAATCCAATGTTGGAAACATTTGAACTTCAAATGCTCATAACAATTTATTTTTATTTTCCGTTAGACTTCTTTTTTGTTAAAAGTAAACAAACTTATGCGGAATTTTGGTATTAAACTTTTAAAACATGGATATACATTTTTACAAATTTCTAACTTCAGATGCTCATAAAGTATTATTGTAGATTTACTCTTAATTTTATTTTTAACCAGTGTGGTTGACAAGTTGCGACGATTAAATTATTTTTTTTAGTCAGTAATCACAAACAGTAATGTTAGTTCAGTTTTAATTCTGTTCAAGTGTGTACCTATTACCTACACGATTATAATTTAAGTAAACCATGGATAAATTACTAAGCTAACTTGGACTAAGTTGAACGTTAATTGATTTTCACTTGAGGTGACTGACTAGACACTCAAACACGGCTTTCAGATTTATGGTTTTCGACTTTCATAAAAGCACAAGATGACCGTATAGGCTATACGTAGACTGTTTCCGCTGAGAATCAATTTTCGTATGCAATTATCTATTATTAACTTTATATTTAATAGGTACATCCATTAACTATTGATCTAGAAATAGGTAATTTAAAAAATAACTAATGTATTATAATTATCATAGATGTCTTCCAGTGGTTCAGAGTATTATGATATTCTAAGTGAAACATGGCAAGAAGTTAAGTTTAAAATAACGGGAATACACAAAATAAAACTTGCAGTAGTTTCCAATTTAATTTATGGAGTAAGTTTAATAGTTTTAATACAGTACTTTTGTGATGTGGGAGTTAAAACGTGATCTCCACTTTAGAGGACGCCACACTCGCATGTGTTGTCTCCATCTTACAAACGTGTAACATACCAAATTTACCCTCAGAAATTCACATTTTATGTCGTCAGCTTAACAATTAGAGTGAATCGACCTATTATGAAATTTGATGGTAACAATATTATCTGTGTTTTGTTGGATGTTATATTACGATAATTCAGTTTTTAAATGAGTTATGCCTGTTAATGTAAATTACAAATGTTCATAATTCAGTTTAATTCACTTAAAAGGTGTATATTATACTTATAGTCTACAGGTACCTAGTCTAATTTACCACACTCGTCAGTCCTCGAGAAATTTATAAAAACAAATTTAGGACTTACCTATGTATTTCCAAATCTAATTGTAATGGTTTATAAAATTGTAACTATACTAGGTACTGGTTTGTAACAATACAATTTTGATAACAATGGTAACATTAGTAATAAATGCTGAATCGGTGAACTTCAGAACAAAGTCTAAGCGACAGTTTTTGTTTGCAATTTTGTTCTTAAAATGCATAGCTTTCATCATTTTTTTAATTTCTCTATAGCCAATTATTTTACCCTTTAAAGTTTAAACATATATATTTAAATTTTTTTGGCCCAATACCCTGGTAATTAATTATTGAAAAATATTGTGTACGGAGCAGGTAGATAAAATGTGGCCCAATTACTGACCACCATCATTTTATTGTAACATTCCATATTATAATAATCCTATACAATTATAAGTATAATAATATTTACCTATTAACTATTGAATGATATTTTTTACTTTAAGGTTTGCAAAACAAAAGCTTTTTATTATGATCCAAAAACCGACTTTGGTCAATTAATCAGTCCTCCAAGTGATATATATACAGTATATTCAATTTGTTCATTTAATAACCAATTGCATTTGATTGGTTGCAAATATATTACAAACCAGTTTGGAGGTCAAAGTCATTGTATTATTTATGATAAGTTCAATCAACAAACCAATAGATGGAGTAGAGTTACACAAGAACTTATAGATGGTAGAGCACCAGGTAATGTAACTTATACTAAAATTTAAAACACAATCTACCTATATTTTACCATAAGATAATAAAATATGCTTTGAGCAGTCAAACAAAATAATACAGGTTTTAAAAAATGATGAACTAATTATAATCTAATCTCTATGTACCTTATCATGAACATTTTTGATTCTGAGTGAAACGATGAAGTTATTGATTTTACAATGATGTATGTTTTTTTTTTTTTTTTGTGTCTGTCATCACCTTTTAGGACAGTAAAACTGTAAAAGTGCTTGGATTTTCTTCAACAGTATCTTTTCTGATAGGAAAGTGAATCTAGTTGGTACTTTCGGGGGGTCAAAAGTAAAAATTTTCCAGTAGTTGTCAAAAGCGTGAAAAACAAAAGAAAAATTAAGAAAAAACAGGAATTTTTACGCAAAATCTGTTTTCGAGAAAATCGATTTTGGTTTTTAGTGCAACTCTTAAACAAATGACCGTAGGTACATGAAATTTTGACTGAATGTTTATATAAGAATTTTTCTATGCACCATAACATTTTCCAAATATTTTGACTTATTTTGAGCTCTTTACGGACATTTTCATTTTCCATTTTTTTTTAGTTTTTTTTTCTATAAATAATAAATATCAATACAATTTTATTTGTTGGGTATAAAAACTTATCAATTTAATAGAAGGCTCCTAGTATATTGTTTCAAAGGCAGAAAAAATTAAAAATCCATAGTCACAATTTTTTTTATAAGCATTTAAAGTTCAAATGTTGACAAAATACTTAAAAATGACGAAAATTTAGAAATTATTTTGAGTTAAGAATTCGTAAAAAATTATCTTTTTAAATCTAAGATTTTAAAATGTAATACAAGATTCCTTATAAGATAATCTACATTTATCAAAAAAAAAAAAGTCAAACTAAATTCTTATGAGCGTTTGAAATTTATATTTTTATGATATTGGATATTCACTCGATTTCTCATAAAGCGATTTTGTTATTTTATTGTTATTTAAAAACGAATGACTGCAGATACATGAAAATTTCACTGAATGTTTATATTAGCATTTTCTACACACCATAAAATTTTGAAAATAATTTGACTCTTTTTGAGCTGTTTACGGACATTGTCAGTTTTAAATTTTTTTTAGTTTTTTTATCTATAAATATCAATAAAATGATATATGTTTTGTAAAAAATCGTGAACATTTCGTGAAAGGCTCCTGATATATTGTTACAATAGCAGTGGAAAAATATTAAAAATACATAGGCACAATTTTTTTTTTTAAGCATTTAAAGTTCGAATTTTGCCAAAATTTATCAAATTTAAAATGTAATAATTATTTTGTAGCTAAAAATTTATAAAATGTTCAACTTTTATAGCTAAGGATTGAAAATTTATAACAAGGTTCCACGTTAATAGGTTATTTATAAATTACTTTATTTACCTTAGTATCATCAAGTATATTTCGTAATATTATCATAGGGCATAGGCTGACTGACCGTTTTCGCTCAGAATCGTTTTTCTTATACAATGATATTATATCATTATCATTGAATTCAAATTTAACACCATCCATTACACTTGTAACCTAGTGTACAGCAGAGTGACTTTTTTATTGCATTAAATAAGGTTATACTAGGATTATTTTTCAAAATTTTCTAATTTAATTATCATATTCATTTAAGAGGAAATGTTCAAGTCTTGTATTAATATAAATGTATAGCTTATCAACGACATTAGCTGGCGTTGTTTTAAATTTTAATATAACATTTATTTTGTAGGTGTTGTTGTACTGGATGAAAAACTACACCTGATTGGCGGTGAAAATAATAATTCTATTCAATTTTACGAATCTGAATCGAGTTCTTTTAAAGCTAAGAGTGAAGTACGTATGCAATCTTCAAAACATAATGACACACAAGTATTTGTAGTCGATACAGAAAGTATAAATCCAAATAATATTTTGAAATATTATTCCACTAATGAAATTTAAAGCTTTATTTATATTTTTATTTTTAGTAATACAAAGAAATACCCCACAATTTTTTTTTTTAAAATAGTACCTATGTAAAAAAAAAATACTTAACATTCAAAACTTATTTGAATTAGTTTTAATTTTAGATTCTAATAAAGTGATAAATGTATTGGATTGATTATACTTTGATGTGTGTTTTTCTTCTGTTGTCACATATCACCTATTGCCTTTTGGTTCAGAAAATACTATAAAAGCATATATTTTCAACTTCAACATTTTGATACTTTTGAGATTTAAAAATTTAAAATTCCAAGTGGCTTTAAAAAGCGTCAAGAAAAAGAAAAAAATGGCAGTTTTTACACAAAACAAATTTTTGAAAAAATTGATTTTATTAATTTGGTGTAATTCAAAAAAAAATCCAACAAATATTTATAGCATGTTCCAGAAATGGTAACATTTTCAAAATATATTCATTCTTTTAGCGCTACCCTTAAGAAATTTTTCAAATTTTGTAAATTTTTTTAAAATTATTCTCGATAAAAACATGAAAGCTTGAAAATATAATGGAAGATTCCTTATAGGTATAATATGTAGATGCATACTATCCAGTTTCCATTATCGTAAAAATATTATTAAGAAACGTCGTGATATTTTATTTCGAGATTTTAATTTTTATACATTTTAGATTCTGAGTGGAACGATGAATGTATTGATTTTACAATGATGTGTGTTTTTTTTTTATTTTTTTTTTTGTGGCTGTGTACGATTTTCGACTTCAGTATCTTGTTCGATTGGAAAGTGAATATCGTTGGTGCATTGGGGAGGTCAAAATTCAAAATTCCCAGTACTTTTCAAAAGCGCCAAGAAAAACAAAAGAAAAATTAAGGAAAAACGGGAATTTTTACGCAAAATCGGTTTTCCAAAAAATCGATTTTGGTTTTTAGTGTAACTCTAAAACAAATTAACGTATATACATGAAATTTTCACTGGTTGTTTATATTTGGATTTTCTATACACGATAACATTTTCAAAATATTTTGATTTATTTTGGACTGTTTACTGACATTTTCATTTTTAGATTTTTTTTAGTTTTTTTTCTAGAAATATCAATACAATTTTATTTGTTGGTTAAAAAAACTTGAAAACTTAATAGTAGGCTCCTAGTATATTGTTTCAAAGGCAGATAAAAAATATTAAAAATCGTTAGTCACAGTTTTTTTTTATAAGCATTTAAAGTTCAAAAATTGACAAAATATGGAAAAATCACGAAAATTAGCAAATTATTTGGAGTTAAGAATTCGTAGAAATTTTTCTTTTAAAATCAAGATTTTTAAATGTAATACAAGATTTCTTATAAGATTATCTACCTTTATCAAAAAATAAATGTCTATAAGTAAGTCAATTAAATTTTTATGAGCGTTTGAAATTCAAATTTTTACAACATTGGATATTCACTCGATTTCTCATGTAGCGATTTCCTTATTTTGTGGTAATTCAAAAACGAATAACTGTAGATGCATCGAAATTTCACTAAATGTTTATATTAGCAATTACTATACCCAATACAGTTTTTAAAATATTTTGCAGATGATAATTCTATTCGATTTTACGAACCTAAATCGGGTTATTTTAACACTAAGAGTGGACTATATATGCAATCTTCAATACATAATGACACACAAGTATTTGTAGTCGATACAGAAAGTATAAATCCAAATAATATTTTGAAATATTATTCCACTAATGAAATTTAAAGCTTTATTTATATTTTTATTTTTAGTAATACAATGAAATACCCACAAGTTTTTTTTTTTTTAAAAACAGTACCTATGTAAAAAAAAAATACTTAACAATCAAAACTTATTTGAAATAGTTTTAATTTTAGATTCTAATAAAGTGATAAATGTATTGTATTGATTATACTTTGATGTGTGTTTTTCTTCTGTTGTCACATATCACCTTTTGCCTTTTGGTTCGGAAAAAACTAAAAAGCATACATTTTCAACTTCAACATTTTGATACATTTGAGATTTAAAAATTTAAAATTCCAAGTTGCTTTAAAAAGCGTCAAGAAAAAGAAAAAAAGTGGCAGTTTTTACACAAAACCAATTTTTGAAAAAATTGATTTTATTAATTTGGTGTAACTAAAAAAAAAATCCAATAAATATTTATAGGATGTTCCAGCAATGGTAACATTTTCAAAATACATTCATTCTATTAGAGCTAGCCTTAAGAAATTTTTCAAATTTTGTAAATTTTTTTAAAATTATTTTAGATAAAAACATGAAAGCTTGAAAATATAATGCAAGATTCCTTATAAGTTTCATTAAGAGTAGTTTAAAAATATTAAGGATACGTCATACTCACATTTATTTTTTATATGCCTTTAAACATCGAATATTGACAGAATTTTTCAAAATCTTGAAAATTATTAATCATCGTAATTAATAAATTATAAAATGTTCAGTTTTTATGGCTAAGGATTGAAAATTTGAAACAAGATTCCACGTAAGTAGTTAATTCTCTTACCGAAAAATCTAAAAAATATATAATCACAGTTTATTTTTATAGTCATTTTATGTTCAAATTTGGACGAAATTACATATTAAAAAATCTAGTTATTTTGTTGTGATTATATAATATTATTCGTAGGTACATACTCGAAACTTCTAAAGTGTACTATTATAGATCTAAAATAGTATCAGTGTTTGTTATTGATGTTGATGTATAACGTGTTATAAGTACCTAATGGATAATGTGATATGATTAATTTGGAATTTATTATAGATCAGTTTTTTTTTTAATACCATAGATATATTGTATATTATAATTTGTCTTAAACCTAGACTGACATACCGTCTTCGCTCAGAATCGTTTTTCTTATACAATGATATTGTATCATTGAATTCAAATTTAATAGCATCCATTATACAATGACCACTTGTAATCTACCGTACAGCAGAGCAACATCCACTTACCCGCTTTTGTTATATTTAATATTGTCAATTTATATTTTATTATATTATGTAAGTAAGTAGTAAATATTTTTTTTTAAATTAAGTCTCAAAAAGGAACAATAAACTTTGCCGATCTTAGAAATGCACTTTCCGAAATAATTGGTCCGGATAGCTTTATCTGCAAATCAACTACCTCGCATTTAAAAATCCAAACAAATACACCCGATAGCTATAGAACACTTATCCACTTTTTAAGTGATAAGAAAGCAGAATACCATACATTTCAGCTTCAATCTGAAAAATCATTCAGAGCAGTGGTAAAAAATATTCACCACACAACCGATCCTACTGAAATAGCATTAGCACTTGAAGAATTAGGATTCACCGTAAGGCAAGTGACAAACATAAAACACCAAAAAACCAAAATACCATTGCCCTTATTCTTTGTCGACCTTGCTCCTGAATCTATTAGTAAGGAAATATTTAACATAACGGCCCTACTTAATACCAAAATCAAAGTTGAGGAACCTCATAAACGCCGTGAAATTCCTCAATGTCAAAACTGCCAGACTTACGGTCATACAAAAAGCTATTGCTCACACTCTCCTCGCTGCGTGAAATGCGGTGGAACCCATCTTACCGCAATTTGCACAAAATCACCTGACCTGCCGGCCAAATGTGTTCTCTGTGAAGGCGAACACCCAGCCAACTACAAAGGCTGTGCTATATACAAGGAGCTGCAACAACGTCGCCGCCTACCAGTCAACTCAAGACATAACAACCAACATCATCAATCGCAATCAACCAACCGAACTACGAAACCTAATTACCAGTCAAATCTGCAACCATCAACACAAAATCCAAGTACTCGAACAAACCAATCATACGCAGAAGCAACAGCAAATACAGGTAACGCACCACCGCCAACTCCGTCCTCCAACACCTTACCTATACCCAGTCCTGATAATAATGATATAAAAAAATTTTTAGAAGAACTTAAATGTCTAATTAACCCACTTATCTCTCTCATCACAGCACTCATGTCTAAACTTTTAAATGACACACACAACAAATAACTCAGTCACCCAAAACTCTATCATGATCCTTTCATGGAACGCGAACGGACTAAAAAACCATAAAGATGAATTCCTCATTACACTCCAAGAAAAAAGAATTGATATCGCTTTAATATCCGAGACCCATTTCACTAATAGTTACTCTCTCAATATACCAGGCTTTCGTCTACATCATACCAACCATCCGGACGGAACTGCTCATGCAGGATCCGCTATCTATGTTAGGTCTTCTCTCACATCTCATCCACTCCAAAAATTTCAAACCGACTATATACAGTCGTGCGCTGTATCCATAATAATCAACAATTTACCTGTTTCCATAGCAGCCATTTACTGTCCTCCTAAACATAATATATCCACTAATCAATTCAATATCTATTTTAATACCCTCGGACATAACTTTATAGTCGGTGGTGACATAAACTCTAAAAACATTCAATGGGGATGCCGGGTCACAAACCCTCGTGGGAACTCACTCTTACATAGTGTAATAAACAAAAACCTACAAGTAATCTCACCTACCAACCCGACTTATTGGCCAACTTCCTCTCGAAAACGACCAGATATATTAGATATATTTGTAACCAAAATTCCCAACACACTCCACTCATTAATTACAAATCTGCACGCTCCATGCTCAGATCATTCCCCCATTCTACTCTCAATCGACTGCCAGCCTCTGTCCAACCAACACAACCCAACACCATTACACTCTCATATCAACTGGGATAACTTCCATAAGTCAATACTGGAAAAAACCAGTCTAAAAGTCCGCCTAAAGACAACCAATGACATCGATGAAGCAGTGAATCTTTTTACATCCAACATCCAAACTTCAGCATGGGAATCAGCGCAACCCACGCAATCACACACATGTAACATGATCATTCCCCTTTACATCCGTAGTCTCATAGCACAAAAACGTCGCGCTCGCTGCCTATGGCAAAGATCAAAATATCCCACTGATAAATCCCACTACAATATG